CAGAAGCACCCCTTGGCTGCAGAAGCGGAAGCGCAGATGCGCATCTGGGTTCGCAGATGCGGACGTGCCTAGACTAAGTTGGAACCGCACCTGCTATGGAATTTCCACAGGTGCGGCTGATATTCCGTATGTGCGGAAAGTCGGCTGGGCAGATTGTTTAAATCGGGGTTTTGCTTATTTTTCCCTCATTTCTCTCTTGGTTTGGGAGATTTTGGAGAGCTTCAAGGGGAGGTTTTCGCCATCTATTACAAGGTAAGTGATTTTCGCACATTATTAGCTAATTACACGGATTATGTAAGGATTTAAACATGCAAATTTGTAAAAATTATGGGATTTTGGTAGAAAATCTAGAATTTGGTATTTTTAGGATTTGATCACGAAATTGGACGTGGAATTGAAAGTAAATTATATATTTGAGTTCGTGAGGTTATGGGTAAGGTTTATCTTCGAAAATTCTCGGAATCCGGGCACGTGGGCTTGAGGGTTGATTTTTATGACTTTTCGAGCGGAGTTGGGAATTTTATAAAATGATTAATGATGGGTATTATAATATATTTTGATTGGTTTGCACATTTGTTTGAATAGTTTTGGATTAACGGGCTTTGGTTTGAGGTGTTAGAGAGGCTTTAGAGCCGGTTATGGAACTTCGGAGCGAGCTAAGTCTCCTGTCTAACTCTATGAAGGGGAAACTACCCCTAGGTGATGTATTTGTTATGTGTTACTTATTGCGCGGGCTACGTACGCATAAAGTGACGAGAGTCCATGCGTAGCTAGATTCATGCTATGTCCGATAGACTTAGGTTCACACCATGCTATAACTGTACTATTTGAGTTGTCTTTTGCCTATTAAATTCCTTTATTTTACGTTGCGACTTGAGACTAGACTTGTGTAGAGTGAGACTCTATATAGTAGAGATTCAACGAGCTTCATGATTAACCACGAAATGACCGTACTCCTCTTACGAAATTCTTTCGCGTATTGTGTTTCACCGAAAGGCTTCCCTTAATATACATAACTCACACGTCTACTCGTGAGTAGGGTCAAGGACCCGTCAAAGCTTCTTATTCTAATGGGATCGGGCCGTTCGCCTCGGCAGAATAGACACATCTATGGATTGTGCCGTTCGACCCTCGGCAGTGCGCACACTAATGGGATCGGGTCGTACGCCACGACAGGATTTATGTACCACACTCTCATGGGAGCGGGCCATTCGCCTCGGCAATAAAATAGATGTATCTATGGTTTGGCAATGTTATGATGGATCGGGTCGTATGCCTCGATATTTCTATGAAATACTCTTACGAAGTCGTGCGCAATAATTGGCAAGAAGCCAGCATATCTGTGAGCTTCCCCTGATTTAACTATGACGACCTATCTGGTAATGTCCATATTATATATACTCCGATTGAGGAGGTGACTACTAGCTGAGAGCTTGAGATATCTATGAGAAGAGAGCTGTACCACATATTTACACCTATTATTTTCGTTTACATACTCTGATTCACATCTGTTTATCCCTACTGTATCTGTCTTATTAGACCTCTAGTAAGTGTCGATGTCGACTCCTCATCACTATTTCTCTGGGGTTAGGCTAGATACTTACTGGGTACGCGTTGATTTACGTACTCATACTACACTTGTTGCATTTCTTGTGTAGGTACTTGTATGTTTGATGGTCTTTTGGGCGCAACGGCACGGCTATTGCGAGGACTTTACCGTGAGCTGCTTTCCATGTTACGCTCCACAGCCTACAGAGTCTTCATCAGAGTTATTTATATTTTTCCTGTATAATTTTGTATTATAGACAGATTTTGTATTTTATTATATTTCCTAGTTGATGCTCATGTACTTGTGATACCGGGTTTTGGGGGTTCTTACTGTTGTTTGTCGTTGTAGATCACGTAGTTATTAACATTTTCCCCTGTATATTCCATTTTATACTATTTAAGTAATGGAAATTATGATTTCAAAGTAATAAAATGAGTAATTAAATCAATCAATTACTGCTGGCTAGCTTGATGGCGATATAAGGCGCCATCACGACCTATAGTGGATTTTGGGTCGTGACAGGTTGATATTAGAGCTCTGGGTTCACTTATGTCTCACGAGTCATGATCAAGTCTAGTAGAGTCTTGTGAATCAGTACAGAGATATCTGTACTTATCTTCGAGAGGCTAGAGGGCTGTTAGGAGCACTTCCCTTCTTGATTTCCTCATCGTGTGATTTGATTCCATTAGGGCTTGTGACTTTATTTCCTTTCTACTCAATCTTATGTGACGTGAAGCGTTTGTTGTCAATTGGACGCCGAATAGTGGTATTGATACTACAGACGTAGAGCGGGATGTTTTTCCCTGCGTGTTGCGCAGACTATTATCATCGCCTAGCGGAAGGATGTTCTTTTGATCCAACTCTGTATCTGTATTTTCTTTGATTTTGAGACTGTGCACGGATTGCTACAATTTCTATGCGTTGTTATCACACAATGTTGGTGTAATAGTAAGATGCTTGTTTATGTGATTGAGGCAGTGAATGGATTGAAGAGAGGATTTCTCAGTGCATGATTAAGGGGTTCAACATTTAATTCCAGGGGAGGAAAGGCAATCGGACTATAGATGTCCATGTTTGATTGATAAAGTAACAAGACTTGATATTTTCGAGCGTGATGGAATTTTCATTATGATGCGGCGTCACCGTCCTTGTTTGAACGCATTATGGTTCGCCAGTTTGCGGTCTTCTTGGATTTTGCCTTCTGGGCAGGGTGTTGTGAAATGGTGCCTGAGGGGCGGTTATTAGAAATAGCGGCGTGCAGCGGTTCGGGATCGAATTGGTATTTCCAATGTTGATGGCTCGAGGAAGATGCTCTTCTAGGGGGTTTAGAGTTGGTAGCAATTCACTAGCTCAAGTGCTACGGATAGGGAGTTGTTATAAGGCAGTAGTTGGGCAGCGAAGTATGAGGAAGGACGTGGCAGGAAGTGTTTCACGGTGGTTGAAGTACTAGCAGCTCAATCAAATTTCAAGAAACTGAAGGTACACAAAGAGTTTGTAATAGATTAAGGTTGCATTCAGTCTCCATAATCAAACGATAAGTCCATATGCCTTCAATTGGAGCCTTCATACGATTTTCTATGAACAAGAAATCCTTATTTAGATTTGTAGTTTGGATCGTAAGGAATCCCTGCAACATAGTAGATATATGAGCAGTTGCACCAGAATCAATCCACCAGGTATTATTAGGAACTTCTACTAAATTTGATTCGAAACATACAAAAGTACTAATTGTACCTTTCTTTTCGAACCAAGCTTTACGTTTCAAGCAATGTTTCTGATAGTGTCCTTCCTTGTTACAAAAACGACACATATTTACCTTATGTTCCTTCTTATCATCTTGTGAAGCTTTAGCAAGTACTTTCTTCTTCTTGAACTTGTTGGCATTCACTCTAAATCCTTTACCACCTCCTTGACCAATGAGGTTAATTGAATGACTTCCTTGTTTCTTAAGTCTTGACTCCTCCTGAGTAAACATACTGGACAATTCATTAACATTTCACTTATCCCTAATAGTGTTATAGTTAATTTGAAAAGGTCCATACTCAGGAGGCAACGAGTTCAGAATAAACTAACCAAGAAGGAGTCATCCACTTTCATCCCCAAGGTCTGAAGTCTTGCTACAATGTTAGACATCTCGATGATATGATTTTGCATACTACACGGCCCATCAAACTTCATGGTCGTGAGTTCAGCCATTAATGTACAAGCGAGAGACTTATGTACGGAACGAAACCTTTGACCAAAACCAAACAAGAAAAAGTCAGTACCTGTAACTAGTAACAAGACTTCAACTGTCGGTTTTATAAACTCTTTGAGATCCTCAATTTGTAATTAAAAAGAAATAAAATAACAAAAAAGTTATAGAGAAAGGTCATTGAGACTATTATTTTGAGCGAGTCAGTGATAAGGATTTTTTTTTATATTATTTAATATCGAGGGAGGGAAAAGAGGAATACTATGCTACTGATGGAATTTGAACCTTTCACCTCAACCGTGCAAGGCAAAGAGCTCACCAAGTAAGCATACCCACAATACATCGTGATAGGAGGTTGGGGGAGAGAAATAAATGATTCTCTTTCACATTTTATTATAAGAGGAAAAAGAACAAATGGTCTACCAATCTCTTCCATTAGGAAAAAGAATCTAAAAACAATAAGCATCCTTCAGAAGGTTTTGTTCGATAGAGTAGATCAATATTAGTGCCCTCTCCCCTCCCAAACTATTCACTCATCGCGTATCACTTAAAAAGTCGTTGAATTTTCTATCCTTGTCACTTCAGTCATAACATTAATTAATAGATTCCAAATGCATAACAAGATGAATTCATTTCTAAAAGCTTCAGAAACAATTTTCGAAAACTGAACATACGCAGAAGCAGCGAGTCTCATAAGAGTGCCGCAAACAAATCGTAGATCGTCCATTAAGGAACTTGCAATGGTCCTCTGCAGTGGCGGATCCAACGTTAAGATATCGGGTTCATATGAACCCAGTACTTTCCGCATGAAACATAAATTTATGTATAAAATTCATTAAAAATTGCAACAAATAGTAAATATGTGCTCATTAAAAGTATAATAAATTTTATACGAAAACCTTTAAAGTTTTTATCCTAGATCCGCCCCTGTTCCTCTGACTTGAGTGAGTTTCTTGGTACATGGGCATAGTACGTTGAAAACATCAACTTGGGAAGCTGAATTCCCAGAATAAGAAATGAATGAGTACTTTCTTGCTGAAAGAAACGGGAAACTAAGGACAGCTGACCTTTTCACCCCCTTGAAAATCAAACTACTCATTGTCCATAAAATTCCAGTCAAATGGAAACAAGTTTGAAACAGAAGTGCACTTCTTGGAGCAGGCTAAATTAGCACCTCAGACAAAACAGGGAAAGGGGGGATAAAAATATGTCAATTTACCGGAAGTAAGTCATGCCGTTATCAATTCACAACTGGTATTGAACAGAATATGAAATGTTTTTCTTTTCTTCAATTCTAACAGATGTGAAGGACTTATTTATAAGGTGTTTCGGGGTCTCCATTGAAAGCACAGTAAAACTAATTAATCAAAAATGGAGAAAATAAAGTAAAGAATAAAATGCAAAATAAACCAGTACTTAATAGCGCCATTGTTCTATCCATAGAAAATAGAAAATTATTACTAATATAGTAAAGTAGTAGTCACAAACTTGTTTCAGTATCTCCCACATCCATGTTTGATCAGTATTTCCCATATCCATCTTCAAGTTCCAAGCTCTCGAAATAGCGCCCACGCACTGACATAAACGAAGCAAACTCTTCTTCCTTTGGCACATGAAAATAGTCTATCTTTTTTGTAACCAGATCGTAAGTGTAGACTTGTTTGAGAGCACGAGTTTGTAAAACTACTACAAGAAGCTTATCATCATTCCAGATTCCCAAAGGGATTGCCTCTTTGGAGAAAGGTTCTATAATGAATTTCTTAGTCCAAGAGTATTGTTTAATGCCACTTTTATTCATCAGTACCCATACCTCAGTATCCCTAGAACCATCCTCAACGGAGACCATCATGGCAAGAGATCCCCTTAAAACTATAAGCCTTCTACGAACATATTCACGTTCAAATCCACGATCATCAGGAACGTCTACAAGTTTGAATTCGTCCTTAATCAAATCAAAGCAGATAATACATTCCACCGCTGAAGTAGCCAGCCAATACACACAACCATCCAGCGAAATCTGAGGTCCCCATGCAACAGTTAGGCTAAGAATGGTGAATGGTACAGTTTTCCATGAACCTGAACTCAGGGTATAAACCCAAGCCATTTTTGATGCTTCATCACTACTCCGTGGCTCAAAAGGGACTTTCAAAAGTTTATAGTCATTGCTTTGTTGAACATAACCGAGTTTTAGATACGTAAATCTAGAGCACTCAGAAGGTACATTGATGCACTTATACTTCCGAGTAGCAGGATTCCACAGGATGACTTCTGGTGACGTATAGATATCCTTCATCAAACATATTAGACCATTGTAGCAAAACTCAAAGTTTAAATAGTCCTTAGCCTCAATAGCAAAAGGTAAAGGCAATGGGTTAGTAAAATATATTGGATGAAGATGGAGCAAAGAGAGGTCAGGGAAGCAGCCATAATTATCTCTGTTGTAAACAATAAGGACAGAAGCGGGACGTGAAATTTGATGGGTGAGGTGCAGCTTAATGAAATGAGGGCTCTTGAGGAAATTGTACCATGATTTGCAGACAGACCTAAAGCAGAGCAGCGACTTCACATGAAGTCTTAAGAGTATCTGCACCATTGCATCTTTGAGCAAACTGCAGGCCACGAGTGAGTACTATTCTTCATCGTAGTTGCTGTTTATTTGATCCGCCATGAAATTAAGGTGCTTCACGTCAAAGCTTCTAGAGATGAGGAGAAGCTGAACCACAGCTTCTAAGAAAGTCTAGTTCTCACAGATATTTTATCGAACAATTTTCTTGCAAATAGTGGCATCTCAACATTTCATATACTAAATGAAGCATTAATCACATCATTGTCAGACTCAAACACTTAATCGAGCATAATCAACATGTAAAAACAGTATACAAACATGTATACGGTCGAAATAGATTTCGGTCTCCGTACGTTTTCGAATAGTAAGCGATCGAAGTGAGGGCTCGAGACGAGTTCCGAGGATAGTACATACAAGCCTCGAGCTCCAAGACCGATCGAGGAATCGGCTCGGTATCATTATCAAGCCCATGACCAAATCGAACCGCAGGGCAAAGAGAAGGTTGTCGGAGATGCACAAACCGATTGACACCCACCCCGAATGTCGAACTCGAACTCAAGGCCGAGAGCTCGATCCAATACCGAGCTCGAGCCCGTATCGAGCTCGCAAACAGGAGTCGTTGCAACCGCACTAGGGGAGAGAATCTTGGCAGGATTCGAGGAAGAGACAATTCATCATAGGTTCTCCACTATATATTTTTTATTATAAATAAAGTAAGATCTCTCTACTATAAAGGGGAAATCCTTGTAAGCACAAAGGGGGGACACATTGTAAGAAAAGACTACTACTATTTATTGAAGAATAAATCTCTTAAGCTTGTTTTACTCAATATACTCATTCTTCTAGTTCAATAATTTATATCTCATTTCTATAGCCAAGAATCCAAACATTTCCACTTCTACGTACGATTTATGTCAGGCTATATCACATATCCTTAGAACTACTTATAAATTCAACTATATCCGATTTTCCGGGTAAACAAAACAGAAATAATGAGAAAAAAGGTTCCTTAAATTATGAGCTCTACAGCAAAGCAAAAGAGTAACCTCTTATATTAGCACAATGTTCCTTATATTAAGAACCAAGACTGATAGTTTCTCTTTATCAAACGGCTGTTAGGTTTAATTATATCATATGACTAATCCAAATTATTTGCAGCAGTACCAATAAATAATATTTGGTAATCAACAAACAATTATACTGCATTACCAGTAGGTCCTAAAAAATTCTCTGCTATTACAAGAATCATACACTCGACAGAGAATCACAATGCGGTTAAGATAAGTCTGAATTTCATTGAAATAGGAAAGGATTATGATAAAAGAATCAGGAAGTGGTCCAAAATCTTAATTTGGTCCAGAAAAGCATATGAAAATTGGACAAAACATACCAAATTCTGATGCGGGAATATGGAGAAGAAGACCCTACCTAAACTTGGTGAGTTGACGAAATCAGAGGTGCCGATTAGATTGGCGAACTTTGATTCACATTCAGTTCTCTTTTGTATACGGTGATTTGTTCATCACACACTAAATAATGATTTTGATCGATGCAATTTGGTTGCATCTTTTTATGATGATTTCGCAGTAAGTTTGTTTTGGGGTAGGTTTAGGGATTTTGATCGAGAAACAGAAGTGGTCCCTTCTATTTGGATAGGTCTTAAAAATGATCAATTGTAGCAAAAAGTGTACCTGAAAAACTATACCTAACACAAGAACTAGATCAAAAATAGCAAAAATTGTACTTTCATATGTGAGTTCAATGTTAAATATTCTTTTTCCCAATTTAGGATAATCTAAGAATTTGTTAAATATTTGATGATGATCAAAAGTGATTACTTTTGACATACTTAAAAGATCGAAATTCTTAGGAGAATATTTAATTAACTATTTTATACCTACCCTACTGTTTGATCATAATTATCATTTTCTCGATTTTGATCGTGATTTCAGTTGAATAAGTGAAGTTTCAATTTGATATTTGTAGTTACCCGAAAAATGAATAAAGTTAAATTTATACGCAGTTCCGAAGATATGTGGTGCAACTTAATACAAAATGCAAGGATAAATAAAATGTGAATATAGATCGGAGAGAATGTAATCTAGACAAGGCAATCAAGAACAGTGAACCTTAGGATTTAACAAATAGAATCAATCTAAAAAAGTGGAATAGCCACTCTTTCTTGTAGAAGAACATAATTCCTTACATTATAATGTAAATCTCAGAAAAAATATATATCTACATTACAGAAATGATAACCAAGCCCTTTTATAGTGGAGGGATTCGGCTCCAAGCATAATAAAATAAACATTTAATGGGAGACCCATGATAAGTGAGTTTTTCCATAATTTCTGCCAAGATTCCCTCTAGTGGGATTGCAACGGCTTTTGTCTGCAAGCTCGATCTTGCTTAGAATCCCCGATTTTGGTTCGAGCTTGATTTCGGCTCGAACTTGTGATCTTGGTTCGAGCCCCATCCTAGTTCGAGCCCTCGAATTGATTCCAGGTCAATGTATGTTGGTTTTTGGATTATCAGCACGATAGATCTACCTGCGTCATGGTTCGATTCTTGTTCGAGTTTGATTATGATATCGATCTCGACACGGACCGGTCTACCCGGGTTCGAGGTTAGTTCGTGCCCCCTTCGGGATCTTACTTCGATACACCACCCTTCGAACCATATCGGACATGCCAAGGCTGAAATCTATTTCGACCGTATACAGATAGTCCCCTCGTTTCTCAGAAAGAATATGGCGAGAAACGATATGATTTTCAACAGCTCGATCGGATTATATCTTGTCATTTCCATCGGGTTCGACCATGACGCATATGATAACTGTCCCGTCGGTTTAGTCTTTCAAGGCATTTAATGCATGTCAGGCGGTGGTCGACCACTGCTGATACTGAACCGCCATCGTTTGAACCTATAAATAACCCTTACCTTTATCTTTTACCATTTTTACATCTTCTATCTTCTAAAATTTCCCAAATTCTTCTTTATACTCTCCAACTTACCAGAAAAGCTGTGATTTCTTTCCGAAAGGACCCCTCTTCAATTCTACCAAATCTCTATCACTTTCTTCTACTCCTTACTTTTGAATTCAAAAATGGCGAAAACATCGCAAACCATTTCTCAGAAAGAGAAGGCTTTATCTTACAGTGTGTCGCCGATGAGGCACCGGCAGAACCACGGCCTGAGGAGTGTGTCCCCGGGGCGTGCGTCCTTACTTCAGATTTTAAGGTTGATAAAGGTTCATCGGTCCCTGGCCGGTGTGAGCCGGTATCGAGGTACATGTGTTCGATAACCGAGAAGCACCTCGATCTGTTAAAGAAGGATTGCAATTGGGGTGAAAAAGAAGTAATAATACGTACCCCTGACGAAGATATCACTTCTTACGTGAAAGGGTTTTTGAACGTATATACTTACCCTTTCACTTTGGGTCCCCTCGATCCCGTCGTTATTGACTTCTGTCGACAATATCAAGTAACCTTAGGCCAGGTCCATCCTTCTTTGTGGCGGATCGTTATCCTGATCCGATATTTCGTGAGCAAAATCGAGGGGATGTTGTTCACCCTCGATCATCTTATCCGGCTGTACCGTCCCCGACTTTTTCTGGGAGGGTTAATAAAACTCCAGCGTCGGGCTACCAAGGCTTTGTTCTCGAGTATTGACGAGGACAGGGACCGGGGTTGGATGAGCAGGTTCGTTCGAATAAGGACTTCGGACCTGATCCCGACTGAAAAGATGCCTTTTCCCGAGGAGTGGAATATGAAACGTAAGTGTGATCTTGCCGTTGTTTCTATTTTGTTCTTTCATTTATTCTCTTATTGACACTTCTCTTTTTGTGATGTAGCGGTTCCCTAGATGCCCGAAGCGGTTCCCGATCTCAAGAATTAGGTACGGGCTCTTGTTTCGACCTCCACATATGCCGAGCGCTCATGGCGTGATTTGTCAAGGGGTCGGTGGGAGGCCAAAAATCACGGTAAGCTCATTTCTCGGACTCTGATGATCCGAACGAGGCGTTTCTCAAAATATTTTTTATAAGGTTTCCCATATGCAGGTTTGGGTAAAGACGCGGTCTTGAGGCCTCTGTCCAATGAGTAGGATGTTTCGACCTCTGTCCAATGAGCAGCAAAGCCGGTGAAGGAAAATAAAAGGAAAAGAGCCTTGTTGCCCGAATATCCAAAACCGAAGAAGAGGACGGCTCGTAAGCCGAACAAGAATATCATTCCTTTGACCGTAGAATCCATTTTGTGTCTAAGGGATGAAGAAGAAGAAGAAGAAGAAGAAGAAGAAGAGGACAATGAGTCCATGCTGGCGGTCCAAACGAAGAGAGCCACCGATGCTTCATCGCCGGCTGGATCGATGATGCTCTATGGGGATCCGCCTCGAACTGAAGATATACCGGAGAGAGATTCAGGAAGAGTCCCCAAACTATCGGATGTCAAAGACGCCTCTCATCGGAGTCAATCGGCAGGGGTTACAATCGAAGAGCCCCTCGAACCCCTCCGAGCTGAGGGGAACGCTCCAAGCGAGTCACTTGGGGCAGCAACGATCCAAGATTCGCCTACCTTTCCCGCTTTTTCCGCAGGGGTGATTCGGGAAGCTCAAGCTCTAGGAGCCCTCGATCTAGACAGGCCTCACAATGAAGAAGATCCGTTTCATGACCTGTTTACCGGTATCGAGGACGTTGCCGGTGCCGGTGATGAATCGGATCTTCTTCACGGTTTGCGGCAGGCTTTGAATCAGGTGAGCCTTTAATAATCTTTTTGTTGGTACTGCCTTTATGTTCGTTTTTCGTTAACTTCGCTTCTTGTTTCTTTGTAAGCTGTGGCAGTCCATCGAGAACAATGTTCTCGTTCCCAAAATGAGCTGCATCGATACGCGGCCGACCTAAACCGCGCTACTGACGAGAGGAACTCCCTTAGACTTTCCTTAGGGCAGAGAGAAGAGGAAATAAAAGACCTCTGAGCTGAGCTGGCCAAGGCTTATTGAGATCAGAATGATTTGTCTGAGCAGGTAATGATGCTTTTGAAAACCTATGGGTTCGATACCGGAACGATAGCTAACATTTTGGTCTCACAGCTGCAGCAAAACATCGAGGTGATAGGGAAGCTTCATGAGGAGGTCGACATGACAAGGATGGAATCTTTGCAGTGAAAAGAAGGTATGGACCGCTTTGCTGCAGAAAAAGAGACTGCTCGAGCCCAGTTATCGTCGTCTGAAATCCAAATTCAAAAAATGAAGGAAAAAGGCAGGGTTCAAGCAAGAAGAATTGAGGAGCTTGAGGCTCGGTTGGCCTCTGTACTCGCCAAGGCCGAATCCGATGCTAAAAAGTCAAAGGCCAATGCAGATGCGCTCGTGGTCATCTATCGGGCCGATGCTGAAGCTGCCCAAGTCCAGGCAAGAGTGGAAGCTGAATCTGCCGATGGTCAAGCGCATTGGGTCGCCGAACTTGCTAAGTACCGATCCAGAAGGGAAACTCTCGAGGAGATTCATGCTCGCGGCTTCGATCTCGCGGAAGAGATAAAAAGGGCAAAAGAACTCGAAGCTGATGTTGAAGCTCTGGTTTCTGATGGTGATGACGACGACGATGGGAGCAAGAGCGGATCCAAAAATAGGGGGGAACCTGATAGAGAATAGACCGCTCTCGGTTGAGAAATTTAGTTTTTAGTTTTTACATTGTAATCACCCATGCAGATAAATTTTTGTATAGGCATATCTCCCCTTTCGCCGACTTGCTTCTGTTTTTGTTTCCTGTTTTGTGAGGACTTTATTCGCCTTATGAATGTTTCCATAATGTTTTAAACCACTTAATCAAATTTGGACCTCGTAGTCTCTGCAACCGAGCGAGCGTTTACTCAAACTCTGGGCAATGTAGCCCTTTAGGCTTATTAGTCGTCAATGATTCGATCTTGAAGAAATATAGCCCGTGGGCATGATGGTCGAGCGAGTGTTTGCTCGGACTCAAAAATGTAGCCTGTAGGCTTAGTCGAGTGAATGATTCGAACTCAAATTAATGTAGCTCGTAGGCTTAGTCGAATGTTTGATTCGAACTCGAATTAATGTAGCCCGTAGGCTTAGTCGAATGTTTGATTCGAACTCGAATTAATGTAGCCCGTAGGCTTTAATGGTCGAGCGAATGTTTGCTCGAACTCGAAATAAAAAATAGCATGTAGGCTTGGTCGAGTGAATGATTCAAACTCGAATTAATGTAGCCCGTAGGCTTAATGGTCGAGTGAGTATTTGCTCGAACTCGAAATAAAAAATAGCCCGTAGGCTTGGTCGAGTGAACGATTTGAACTCGAATTAATGTAGCCCGTAGGCTTAATGATCGAGTGAGTGTTTGCTTGAACTCGAAATAAAAAATAGCACGTAGGCTTGGTCGAGTGAATGATTCGAACTCGAATTAATGTAGCCCATAGTCTTAATGATCGAGTGAGTATTTGCTCGAACTCGAAATAAAAAATAGCCCGTAGGCTTGGTCGAGTGAATGATTCGAACTCGAATTAATGTAGCCCGTAGGCTTAATGGTCAAGTGAGTGTTTGCTCGAACTCGAAATAAAAAAATAGCCTGTAGGCTTGGTCGAGTGAACGATTCGAACTCGAATTAATGTAGCCCATAGGCTTAATGGTCGAATTGCATCTTAATTCTTCGCACGCTATTACACGCCTGGGTTTGGACCAATCTATATGATCATGGTTTGCTTTGACCATTTGGCTCTTTACAGTTTTCCTATTGGGACCCTGTTGCTGTAAAATAATTCTCTTGCGGGAATCAAATATTGTTA